TCACCAGGGTCCCCAGTGCGTGTATCTGAAGTTATGGGTTCTGAAAAGGCAGTCTCGGTCTCCCAGCGCCCGCACTCCCTCAGGCACCCCGGGGCTGAGCCGCAGCTCAGGCAGAGGCGACGCTCGGCGGGGCGCTCCCTTCGGCCGTGAGGCTCCTTGCGAGGTGGGATCCCGCTTCTCGCCGGGGCAAAAATGAGGGAGGCTTGGCATGTAGAAATCTGCCCGTAACTAATACCAGGCCGAATTTTCATTTGTTTGGTTTGGTTTGTATTTTTTTTTTTTTAAGAAATCGGGAGAACGATCCTCATCGTTAATTCACCAACGAAAGCGGTGTGTAAGTGATGGCTTACGTTCGAAGAGATTTTTCTCCCTGTATGAGAAATGGCCACTTTATTCTTTAGGGGAGATTAATAAACCCGTCCGAATTCATAATCTAATAAATACATCAGAGTACGCCCGAATATGCTGAAGAAGAAACTGGATCTGATCTGTCCTATAGGGAAATGGTCCAGTAGGGTTTTTCTTTTTTTTTTCCCCTTGCTTTGATTTGTACAGTTTTCCCCCCTCCCCCTCTGCACACACATACACACGCTCACGCACACATGCTGCAATACACGCTGTATATTGTGTCTGCCTACACAAGTTTTCTGCTATAGCTGGAAACCTGTCTCTGAAACGCTTTGTTTTCGCTCAGCGTTTCTTCAGATACACCATTTTATTATACGCCTTTTAAAATCAAATTGCACTGCAGTACCTGTTTATTCAATTTTCCAGTATTATCACTTTTTTCAGGCGATTCTCGCCCGAGAATACCTGCATGCGAGCTGAGCAGAGCCCGGCACAGCCCCGCAGCTCCAGGCTGCCGGAGTGGCTCTCCCGCCTGGAGCTGCCGTGCGCCCCGGGCGCGGCCCCTCGGCCCGCAGGTGTCCGCGCCGCCGGTGCCCTCAGCTCCGCTCCCACGGCTTGTGCTGCCCAGGGCTGCCTCCGCTTCGTTTACTCAGCAGCAACATGCACCCTTCTTTCAGGGTAGACGGGCTTCTCCGGGCTCGGTGACAGCGGGCTGTCGGCTGATATGAAAACCACTAATTTAGCTGCTGCGGGCTGCCTTTGCCTGCACACCTGGAACGGGGCAGTGCCAAGTCTGATCTTCGCTTGCAGTAGTCAGTTGTTTTTGACGAAGGAAAACAAGGTTAATATCTCTGAAACGGCCAAATTCTCCCATCATTCGCGAGCTGCCTCTTGAAATCTGCTGGGAAATATCCCCAGCGTACTGACCCCGCGCTGGTGGCTCAGTGGAGAGGTGACTTTGTCCACGATTGCTGTAACTTCCAGATCTGAGTGACTGCCCTTCAGCCGCTAGTCCTTTCACATCTTGTACTTTATCTACCGTAGCATTTACACATTCAAAATCTACACAGGGGCTCGTCGAGCCCGAGCCCTCGGGCCCCGGCCGCGGGGAGAACCGGCGCGGTCGCTGTCACCCACCCGGGCTGGAGGGAAGAAACCGAGTCCCGGTACACTGGGAAAGAATCCTCGGTGAGCTACGGGCTTCGATGGGGCTGTGCGGGGTTGGTAAGGTGGATGCTCACTTTCCCTGGAATAAATTAGCAGAAGTGAATCCTACTGATTTATTTATTTTTCCCAGGGTGTTACAGAAGACATTCTCTCTGGCTCTTGTTGACAAATAAGTCGTGAGCTACCTGACAGTGTTAGTCCAGTTGTTGGCCATATGTCTAAATACCCTCCTAGAGACGTCAGCGCCGTTTAGGAAGAGAATTCCCTCAAATGAAAACCAGAAGGAAGATTTTTTTTTTTTTTAATCCTTTTCTTGTCCCCCAAAGCCACGTTACACCTGAGGGCTGTAACATACAGGGATGATTTTTGTAAAATCAGTATCACCTTCCCCCACAGCAGCGATCGCTTTTCAACATGACAGGGTGTGGGGAAGGGTGCTCTCTTTTCCTTTTTTTTTTTTTTTTTTACCCTTACCTTCACTAAATGCCTTCCGTTCGTGTTTGTTTAACGACGAGTCGCTTCGGTAAACAAGACAATCAAAAGAACATTTGAGACTACGTGGATACATTTCTCTGATGCTTGTAGACGCCTGGACACCCAGAGGAGTTGTTGAATGCCTCTCTTTCCGTCTTTCCTTTATTTACCCAAATGAACTCAGGGAAAGCTTTTAACCGAGGGGAGATTTAAGGTGATAAGCATCGAACAGACGGTCTGCGCTGCAAGCCTGCGTTTCGAACTAGAGCCGGCCAAGGGGCAAAAGGGATTAGATGCTTCAAGGGCTAATTTTTTAATTTTTTTGTTGTTGTTGTTGTTCATGTTTTTCTTTAGAAAACTGAGACCGTTTCTTTTTCCTCGAAATACTCCGACCGTTGCCTGCCAGTGCAATCTCATTTTAAACAGTTATTTTAGCCGAAGTCTCGCACCGACTGTTTTGGCAATTATGTCAGGCTTTTGAGAGTTTGCTATGATTTTGAAATTACTCTACAACCTTTCTACCACCACTCCAGGCACTCTCTCCCTGCTCTATCTACTCTGTTCAGGAGCCAGCAGTTTAAGGAACAGCGTCATGTTTTTAGGGTTATTTTCCCCAGGGGACACACGAGATTAGGAGTAGTCCCGCTCCCCGAGAAAAAAAAGACCTCATGTCCACTTTGCAGGCAGTTTTAAAGCAGCTCTCTCTCCTAATGTAGGAGGATTTGAGTTTGAGTTTCTCCCTTTCCTTTTTTTTTTCCTCTTCCCTGTTCGTGGGATTGTCTATTGTTTTAGTTTGGTTTGGGCTTTTTTTTCCAGGGTGTATCAAGAAAATTAATTAGAATCTTTCTCCATCCTTCTCCCCTCCGCCGCGGGACCCGATTCACGCTGTCTCGCAGCGCATCAGCCCAGGGGCAAACCGTGCATGGTTAAAGTTGGGGGTGTCAGGGAGGGGGCAGCAGGGGACGTGACCGCAGCTTATTTCTCCCAAGCGCGACCACTTCGGTGGGCTTTGGGGTGGGGAAACGTGCGTGGGTGTGTAAAACTGCGGCGATCCTCACCACCCGCAGTCCTGCGGGAGCTCGGCCGCTCACCCCCGCTGCCCTGCGGAGAGGCGATGGCCACAATGTACCCACCCCAACGCCAATAATCCCCCAACAGGTACGCGGGGAGAAGATGTCTGTGTGTCTGTGCGTGCCCGTGGGGGTCTGTGTGTCCCCACTGCCCCCGGCGGCGCCGCCAGGTCAGAGGGCGGACACAGGGAAGAGGGGAGGCGGGAGAGGGGCGGGGATGTGCCCGCCTGACGCCGCCACCCCCTCCGTCAGTGGGGCCGGCCCAGGGGCGGCGGCGGCCAACGGGACGCGAGGCGGGTCCGTGAGTGGCGTTAGGGGCGGGCTCGGCCGGGTGGGAGCGAGGGGGGCCAAGGGGGGAGTTGGAGAGAAATGAAGTTGTGCTAAAAGGCTTTTAGCCATCAAGAAGTTATTAGGCATTTCTCAGCCGCAAATTAGGGATTCTTCATTAATACCAACCTCGCCCCCCCACCCCACCCTACCCCACCCCACCCCTCGTTATGTGAGACGGAGAGCCTGGGAGCCGATAAAGGGGATGGGGAGGCGGCAATGTCTGTCTGCCCATCGGTGCGAGGAGCAGTGACAGGCGCAAACTTTTCCCCCTGCCATTAATGAGCCAATTAAAGAGTTGGGCTCCTCACCCCGGGAGAGCTCTCTGCAGGCTGCCGGGCTCAGGGATTCAAGGTAGGTGAAAAGAAGATCACAACCCACCACAATCTGCAGCCTCAGCGAAGAACCGCAGTGATGTGCGGTGCTAGGCTGTGGGTCGCTTCCCCACGGTGAAAAATGCGGAGAAAAAAAAAAAAAAAGATAATTTGGTTGGAAAAATGTGATGTTTGGGTGGATTCCGGCTCGGGGCAGGGCTGGGCAAAGCGTGCCTCCCCTGGCTGGGGTGCAGCTGAGGTAGACACCCCCGATCCCAGCTGAGGAATGAGGACAGTAGCCGAGGAGAAATTCAAAAGAAAGAAAGAAAAAAAAAAAAAGAAAAAAAAAAAAAAACAAAAGGAAAAAGAAAAGGGAAAACAAGCAGAAATACTCCGTGGTTGGAAATGCGTCCTTCACCGAGGGTCTGGCAGCGCGGAAGGCGGGGAGCTCTGGCCGCGGGAGCGCGGAGGGGCCGGCGCAGCCCCAAAGCCGCTCACGCCGGGAGCCGGGGCTGCTCTCCGCTGCGCTTTCGTTCCGGCCATGCAGCGCACACCTGGGCTGGGAAGTGAGAGGGCTGTGGGAGGAGAGTGCGGGGCAGGCTTCTCCACGGGAGCGCTAGATGGGAAAATACACTTTTTTTTTTCTTTCCCCTCTGGTGGGAGAAAATACTACACCCGCCGGCGGCTGGTTGTTGATTATTATTTCTCGCGGCTCCGCTGCGGCGCCGTGTACCGACTCTCTCACTCCAGGACTGCTCTTGTCTTCACAGAGAGAGGCTCCGGGGAAGTCACCCAGCGTCCTGGGAGGCAGCCCGCGGCCGGGCGCTTCGGCCCTCGGATTGACAACGGATCACGGGAAAAAAAGGGATTACTATGACCCTCTTCCGAGGAGCTATGCTGCCCGCCATGAGTAGGAAAAAAGGCCAGAAATACATCGTTTGGTTGCTGTCTGGTGCCTCAATCTTCTAGCTTTTTTTTTCTTTTTTTTTTTTTTTTTTAATGCAGTTGCTTGGAGTGCTGAACTGCATTGGATAAATGCCTTCCCCATCTAATTGACTCTGCTTTTCAGAGTATATTTACTTTTTTTCCTTTTTTTTTTATTTTTATTATTTTTTTAAGAACATATTTACTCTTCAATGCTTGTTTGCATTTACACAACAGAACGGTTTTTCTGAGTAATGGCCGCACTCAGAATCACAGCCTGATGCTCCGAAGAGATGAATTGCAGATGAGTTTCCCTTCTACCTTTGGATGAATCTCTGGAGTTTAAATTGTAGCAAGGAAGTGGGAAAAAAACAGGATGAAAGAGAAGTCCAAAAATGCTGCCCGGACTAGACGGGAGAAAGAAAACAGTGAATTTTATGAACTGGCTAAATTACTACCCCTGCCCTCCGCTATCACCTCTCAGCTGGACAAAGCATCCATAATCAGACTCACTACCAGCTATTTAAAAATGAGAGTGGTTTTTCCAGAAGGTAGGTGAGAATGCCTATTCGTCTCTATTTTCGTTCTGATCCAGATGTCATTTATCACTTTTGCGGTGAAAAAAAAAGAAAAGAAAAGAAAAAGGAAAAAAAAGAAAATTAAAAAAAAAGGAAAAGGTCAATCCTTCGGAGTGTGCTTAGAGACAGGGTGCCCTCCGCTGTCACTTTCCTCTGTTGTAAATACTTTCCCTTTAGCTCCTATGACAGGTTTGGTTGGAGACTTATGGTGCTTTTGTCAACACCTGAAGGCACTGAGCTCTGCTGCGTGTTCTGCTACAGCAAACCCGGGTTTCCTTTCCCCCCAGTCTTCCAGTCAAATGTTCATCCCCCACCAAGCTCACGCAAGGCCTAAGAGGGCATGATTCACCCCTATTTATAGTAATTCTGTGAGGGTGAGTTAGTATATGGGTAAATATTTACATAAGTTTATGCAAAGTCCTAAAGCCTTAGTTCGGCTCTCGAGGAAAGGTGCGGTGTACAGGTACAGGACACGCGTGCAGGCGTGCTCACACCCAGGCTAAATAAATAAGTCGAGCACAGTGAGTCACATCGTGTGTGAGTGCGTTGTGTCTCGTTCTGAGGATCACCAGGGCACTTTGAGGGCGTTAATCGACCTCGGAAAATTTTAGCAGGAGTTTTGCACCCAGATGTATTCAATGCCGCTGACCACCCAGTGCTGCAAAACCAGCGGCCCAGCCTAGACATGACTCTCCTCGACAGGCAACAGTAAACTTCACGTTGACTCCCACGGCAGCAACAGCCCGCCTGTCTAGCAAAAGAAAACTTTAGCGTCCTGAAGTGTCTCTTGCTTTTAAATAGTATCAGGATCTAAAGCGATCGTCTTTGGTCTTCTAGATCGGCTGCCAAGAAAAACAAACAGAGCAAAGTTAAGAGAGTCAGAATAAAGTTCTTCTGTGTTCTCGCTCTGTCGATTTTATAAGACGTAGGGGAAAAAAACTGAAAAAAAAAAAAATCACGAATCTTTTATTTAGATCAACTCGATGAAGTTATGGTCTGCGTGAAAGAAAAGGTATCAAGAGGTTTTTGGGGTTTTTTTCCCCTGACCTAATACATAATTCGCTGCATGTTTTGTTGAAAAGTGAGTGTACATAGAAAACAACTTAATATGTCCCCATGAGTTTTCTGTAGCTGTATCTCTACTCGGTTGGCCCATATTTTTTTAAAAATTATGAGCATATATATGGCCTAGTTTTGTTTTGCTCTAGTTTTGTCTGATTTGGTGATTTGAGAGGTTTATAATTTTTTTCCCCCAGTTAAATATGTGGACTACTGGTACTAATTCTACTTTTTAAAATAAATATGCAATGTGGCAGTCATTTGGATGGGGGAGGTAATCTCACACCCCCTTCCCCGCCCCAGGTTACAGATGAACCTTTATACCTAAAGTGTACAGTATATATACCACTGCAGTAATTTTCAATCCAGAGCATTTTACAAGGATTTCTTGAAATAAATTTCCACATCATCGAGTCACTTATAACCAAAGAAAGGGTTAAATGAAACCTTTAAAAATAATAATTAAAGTCTTCATCCATCCACTTTCTTCTTCTATTTGCTCTGCCACCTTGAAGATCATTATGCGGGACAATCCCCTGTTCCAAAGGAGACGGAGTTGTCCTTTATGCTGTCAGCGCATACTTTATAAAAATAAAGCTATTGCAAGCCCTGATGCCCATGATGTTCCTAAAAGGATTATTAGCAATGATTTGTCAACTCCTGCGGTCTCAGTAGGCTACCTTTCTGCGTGATTTCGAGCAGGTCTCGTCAATTACTGGTGCCTATGTAGCGGGTTGTTTGATCAGAAGAAGCATATGGTGTTGCTTGTAGGCTGTGAGTAATCACGGGAAGAGAAGAATAGCTGATCCCCGTCCCTCGGTGGCAGCGCAGGATGCCTGAATGCCCTGGGGAACCGTGCGGCGAAGCGCGCCGGGGCCGGGGCCGCCGCCGGCCGCAGCAGATGCTAATTTGAGTGCGGAGGCAGCGGGGGCGGCTGAGCGGGGCTCGGGGGGCAGCGGAGCCTTCGCAGCCTCATTAAAGGCAAACTGCGCATTATAAAGACAGGCCGGGAGCAGGCTAGGAAGGGCTCGCCCCTCCGAGGCGCTGCCGCGGGAGGCCCGGGGCCGAGAGGGCTGCAGACCCACGGGGGACGGCCGCGCCCGCATCCCCAGGGCCGCGCATCCCTCGCAGGGCAGCGCTGCGAGCGGGGCACAAAGGCCCGAGAGCGGGAGCCGCAACGTGGCGCGGAGCCGGGAGGCTTCCCCGCCGTCCCACGCCGGCTCCCTCTCCCTCTCACGTACTTCCGAGGAGGCGGGGAGCGGAGAGCGGGGCCCGGCTCGGCCCCGACCCTGCGGGTTTCCCTGCGCTCGCCCGCGCCGCTATTAAACACGAGCGAGGCGCCCACGAGCGGCCCCGGAGCTGCGCCTGTGCCTGGCCGGGCCGGAGCCGAGCCCGGGTGATTTTTCCCGGGACTCGGGGGGACGCAGTGAGCTCCGGGAACGCGACGGAGCAGCTTGGGCTCCCGCTGCGGGTGCGCTTGTGCTTGTCCGGCTGGTATGAGTGTAGGGAGGCAAGGAAGCGAGGGGCTATTCTGGTTTTCCAGTGCCTCCACCCAGAGGAAAAAAAAAAAAAAAACCAACAACAAAACCATCGCTTCTCTGGGAAAGGAGAACAGGTAGTAGCAGCCAGGGAAATGACGCACGGAAGGGGCAATTCTTTCTGAACGGAGGAGGCAGGGCAGGGATGTTGGATGGATGTGCTGGGGTTCCTTTCGCTTGTATTTCCCTGGGGAGGAAAGCGATACATGCATAGGGACAGACCCGATGAGTTGGCCGGAACACTGGAGATGGGTGGTGGGATGCTCGGGAGCCCGGCGGAATGTCATGTACATTTAAAGAGATCTTGGAGGAGTCAGGGTAGAGAAACGTTGTGTCCGTAAGAGCGAGCTGCACTTTCAGAGTAACTCATATCCCCTCTCCCCGGTACAAGAGCGAATTTCCATCTGCCCATGGAGTGCTTGCATAGAGTTGGTTGTAAATAATCACGTACAGAAAGATATACACTCCTCATTGCCGCGCATACGCGGGGCAGGGGACAGGGCGGAGAGAATCGGTGTGCGCTTGTCTGCATATTTTTGTGTCTGAGAGGTCCCTATAGAGAAAGAAGGTGGGTAGATTTCGGGTTCATTTTGGAAACAAGAGTTTTCTGGGAGTGAAACGCCAGGAGAGTCACACACTAAATGAGCACGTGAGGTTTCCTTCTCACCCCCAGACATCTAAACATAAGGCAGTGGCACTGGACAAACTTGACAAACCGGACAGAAATTTTTCTATGCACTTTCTCTCGTAATGGTTGTGCAATTCTCACAAGTTATTGAAACGCTAGGGTTGTTCTTTCTGCCCCTAATTTCACTTCATTAGGTCTTCAGCAGATTAAACCTGCCAAGGACGAAAGTGCAAGACGAAGGTTTCTTGCATCGTTTCATTATTAAAACACTTCTTTTCAGGAGGAGAAAGCGTATAAGACCTATACTGCTTTTCGGTGATCAGACAGCTTTGGAAAGAGTGAATATCTGCTAATTTTCTGAGGACATTAAGGAAGAGATTTAAGGGTTGTTTGTTTGTTTGTTTTTTTAAAAGCAGAATTAATTAATTAACTCTTGATTTAACGTTCATTATAAATAAATACAAATATTTTAATTTAAATCCCTAATGTAAGTAACGTGGACACAAAAAATAGGTAGAAAAATCTCCAGGATGTCAAAGGACTAAAAGACTTTTCCACCAAAAACGATGCGATCACTGTTACTATAGCGGGGTAATTCTTCACTGACCTTCGGCAGTATCCAGAAAGGAAGGGAGAAAAAAAAATAGTAAAACCCAAACAAAAAACCGAGGTGGCACAATAAATAATTTTTGTTTGGGTTTTGTTTTTATTTTTTAGTTAGGAATATTTTAAAGGTCCTATTCTCCGTTCGCGCCCAGAGATGTAAAAGGAGGGTTTGCAGTCTGTCCTAGTGGGAAGGGATCGTTTCGGGGCAGAGAGGCATTTGCTTTTCGAGACAAAAGCAGAGACCCCGTTTACATAAACTTTCGCCGAATCAGGATGGTTCAACATTTCAATATTGAAACCCTTAACCTTGTTTTATTTTAAAGGGGGAAGAGATCAACAGGAAAAAAAAATCCGTTTCCCACGTGGATAGGTGATTTAATGCTGTTTTTCTTGCTGCAAAGGGAAATGACTGAGCATTAGGTTTCAATGTTTATTTTCTTACAGAAGTTTTTCTCATTTAAGCAGCAGTTTACTCTCCACGCTGAATATCTGTTTAATTCCAGTTTTGATGTGAACTTAAAGTGTGAAGAGCAGAACTAAACTACTAGCAGGATCGTTGAAAAAAAACCCCACAGATTTATGTTTTAGAAGGAATATTTAATGAGAAGAGAGGGGGAAAAATCATATTTCCTTTGGAAACATACAACCGTTTTCACGTTGGAGAATATTTTTCAACTTGCATATAAACCGCGTGTGCGTTGGCGCAAATCCTTCCTTCCCCTATTTCTTCGAAATAAGGGCTACTTGAATTTGAGTCTTCTGGAGAAATGAATAAGTAGTTGGTACTCGAAAATGCCCTGATTTTTTCCCCCTCTCTCCAATTTGGATATGGTTCCGTTTGTTTGCATTTCAAAGCGCAATTCCGGTACCTCGTGTTTGCCAAAATCCTGGTTTTTCTTTCTATAGTGAAACAGCCTCAGCATTATTTCCACTACCATTTTCTTAGCAGGGATGTTTGTTTAGTCAACAGGGCTTTTCCTCCCTGTTATTATTATTTTTATAAAGAAATAGGGATGCTAATTTATCTCTGCTTCAAATGAATACGTGTGATTTACCGAGATAATAAGTCTTTACAAAACCTTGCTAATGGCATCCGCAGGCAGTGGAAATGAGCAGCTTTTTCTTTCTTTCTTTTTTTTTTT